TCAATAACTGTACCTATATATCTTAAACATTGTATGTGGTTTATCTGTACCATTACGCATTATAGGTACCTACATATAAAAATATAATATTTATATATGAAATGAATTGTAGTGATAATAAAATGTTTAAATAAGTTTATAAAAACTTTGAAAATCAATGTAATATATTAGGTATTGTATTTTAATAGGTATAAAGTTCARCGTCTACAGGTGAAAAAGTATATCTTTGCACCTGCTACATAATACCAAGAGGTGCAAGTGCACCGTGGTGCGCTCCTGACGCTCCTGTAATTACGCCACTGTCCTTTGCAATCATTAGAGAATTATTATTAAATCTTTTAAGAAGTTCTGTTAATAATTTTATAATAACCACTAAATAAGTGATAACTTTATAAGCCATCACAGGATTGATCATTTATTTATTCATCATTTGACAATTTATGTGGCTGGCGTGGAACTATCGTCTATAGGTCTTCTTGTTGATAAAGTCAGGTCAAATTCAAAACGATTGTCTGCAATTTTTTTAACTGCTTCATAAATATTTAATATTTCAAATACTCAAAGACAATGATGGGRTGATAACGGTGAGGACTCTATACTTAGAAATGAGAATAATATATAAAAGTATCACTCATAAAATGCATGTAATTTTATTTGTCTATACAGGCACATATTTTTACATCAAAAATTATAATATTTAGTGAACGAACATATGATATTGAGGGAGCTAAAAAAATAAATAGTCATATGATACAAAACAATTTACACGTATACATTATACATACAATGTGTAATATAAATAACAATGCGTCCGTTTATACGACAATATAATATATAGTAAATGCTATACCTAAACGTACAAAAGGTAAAAATGAAACAATTTTACAATAAATATTATTATTAATATACTAGTATTACCTATTTGTAGAAATTAGCAGTGGTATAATATATCATCGTTTTCTAATTGATTTGATAAAAAAAAAATCACTAGAACAATATAAAAAAGGGACTAAATCCGGAAGCGTTATTAACATTCGGAGAGTGATATTCGGTTGAAGCAATATGAGACGCTGTGGGTGAAACGTTACACGTAGGCGCACGGATATCCTACAATTTTTTGGAGAATTAAAGTCTGCGAAGTTTTAATAAAAAGTTAAATTTGACATACATTCAAAGAAATATGTTGTTGGATAGGAAGTGGTTTAAACTTTAAGTTCCAAAATATTTTCCATCCTGTTTGAGCCTACCCGGAGGAGTGCTTGTACCTACACATATATAATATACAGTTTTAGTAATAAGAATATACCCAAATATTATATACTAAATTATACGATCTGTGATGTCCATATAATATAGTATTGTGACTACCTATGTATATACGTGTGTATCTCGAGATATACGTACGAGAAACAGTTTGTCGTTAATAAATTATACAATACTTACGTTATAATATTATTATATACATAATATATACACACACAATAACATGTACAAAAGTGAAAAATAAAAAATAAAAAATTCAATAATTTTTGGCATACAATTCGTTTGAAGACTGCTTTTGGGTCGTACATCATTTCGTGAGACGGAATGTCACAAACCAGTGTTAAGTACACGACGTACAGTGGACGTAGCAAAAAAAAAAAAAAATCAAAGTCCACGCACGGGTTTGGTACGAAAATATCTAATGTAGTATAATATCAATAATGTATGTAAAATAAATATTAATGATAAAATGATAAATCACAACAGTTATAAAAATATATAATTTATTATCAAGCGCGCGCGATCGATCAGTGCGTGTCCATCCAACTGGCTGGTATTGCGTAGTCGGATATGGCGTACAGCATCCGCGGGTACCAGTGTATGCCGTCGGCGGGCTGTACTGTGTCGATCGTTGGCGACAGTGACGGTGCGTCGTGCAGTGGATGGCCCAGCCGCCAGACGAGGTTGTACAGTGACGTCCGGATGGCGGCCACCGCGCGGACAGGCAGGAACGCCAGGTGCGCCAGCCACTGGCTGTCGATGACCGCGTAGCACGACGCCACGACGTCGTCCACGACGACGGTGCCGTCGACCGTGAGTGGTGCGTAAAGTCCGACCTTCTCGGTGTGACTTACTGCGACCACGCGCTCTGTACGCAGTYGCAGCTGCCCGCTGTCGCCGTTGATCACCGTCAGCAGCGTGTCGTTGACGCGCACGTTTTTCGCGTACACCGGGTTGGCGTGTCGGATCTGCGACCGTTCCGGTTTCTCCCACCGGAGCACCAGGTGCGTGGGCGTCGCCGTTATCGACTTGCCCGTGTCCGTCACCAGCGTCACGTACTCGGTCCGCGCCGTCACGCTCCGGTCCAGGAACAATAGCACTTCGCTAGGCCGGAGCAGCCCGTCGTCGGACAGCGCCAGTACCGACTCGCCGACACGCAGATCCTTCATACGCTTCTTCACGCCCGCGCCTGTCGTCACCACGCTGTCACCTGGGAAACAGCCCATCGTCCTCGTGTTGATTTTTGTCTCTGAAAAACACGGAACAATATAATCGATTACTATATACAGAACTTGCAGCAAGGTGAGTACAGTATAGTGAATCTGAAGATCATTTGAGGAGAGGGCGAATTGGTATCATAGATGGATAAGTAATARGTAATAATAAAGACGAAACTGAATACATATTTCCGATTTTCATATTAAAAAAATACCTTTTTTTGTATCATTTATTTATGAGTTTAATGTTATGACTATGACTTTTATTATGAATTTCATGTTCATTTTATCTATACGGCGCTATGATTTAAGTAAAACAATTCCCTAGGGAGGGGCAATCGCCACGTCGCCCCCCCCCTCAAATCCGCCACTGGGGGACTTATATATAGGTAGTATATTATAATATATGTAGGAAGGAATTATAAGTCACGGTTGGGTATTGTATAGTAATAGTATAGGTAATAATTTGTATGCCATACGTCATCGTTAAAATCTCGTAAATCGCTAGAACGCTAGAAGTAATAATGTGTAAATAATTCTCAACCTAAAATATTGCGATGATCACGTACAAAAATAACGTTGGCGAGTTTAGCAGTTCAGCTGCCGACCAATATATACACACTATTCGTTTGACTTTGGCGGTAATCTCGCGGTAAATTAGCGATATAAAAGAGTGAAAAATAACTGCTTATACATGTATTTATATATAAATACTGTTTGCCTTCCCGGTGTATATTAATCACACACACGAGCGGGAACGAGAAGAGATCGTAGCCACTGATTTGTCTGTTTTTTAAACGCCATTAAAAAACACTAATAATAATAATAAATGATTTGGAGTGGTAGTGGTAGTTTGTTTGTTTTTTTTTTTTTATTAAACATCATCTCTGTTTCTCACTGCAGTCGTCGTGCGACCACGATAAATTAGTTAATGAGATAAAAAGGGCAATAATTCTTTTCCGTCCGTGCGGCGTGCACTCACTATTATATTATACATTTAAGTATACATGTATATCTATAATATACCTATACGTAGGTATGTATGCGCGACGACCACGACCGTGTTCACCTTCCACGGCGTATGGCCATCACACACCAACATCTGTGATCTAATCGCCCTCGGGACCCGCCGCTGCGAGTGAAGAAGTATACCGATACTAATAATAATAATAGCATTAGTAGTGATAATAGTAATAATATACAGTATATTATAACGATATTAATTTCCGAGTTTCCGAAAAACCGGATTGTCGCCGCAGTCGTAAACACGGCGTACGGTGTAGTGACTTGAAGAGGGACATCGAATGTACAATATTAAATACGTGTTATTACAATATTATATTATATTATACTGGGACCGATAGTTCACGTGTGCCTTGGGGGTCGGGGCAATAAACATAAAACGGACACTTGCAGCGCGACGCGTCGAGAGGGACGGATTTAGAAGATGGAGCATAATATTATACGCTACATTGCATGCAACCTAGCTGGCGCGCGCGCTCACGTTTAATGATATCATGACGACGCTGTTGAGAGGAAGCATTTAAGTCTTATTTTTTACGAGTTTTCTCTTCTCCCGACCAACCGACGTTCACATCATATTAATAAAACGATACATTAATATATATATACGTATAATATTATGTGTACATGAGAGTAATACACTGTAATAGTTTAACAATATTACCTGCAGGTTATCATAATATTTTGATATGTCTATACACTGAACCTCCATAAAGCCATTGGGTCGACTTTTTAATTTGGGTGGGGGGCTTGAATTTTATAAGTTACACAGACCCGCTAATAAGAAAAATTTCGTAGGTCATGGCTTACTTTTTAATTTATATTTGTACCTATTATGTGGAAGCTGGATAAATATTTGGGAGGGGGCTAATACCCCCTACCCCTCTAATTGCGCCTATGCTTAAAACAAAAAAAATCGACGCATTTCAAAGTTCTCGTACTGGAAATACGCACATAACTACAMTSGAACGTTTTTCCACGATTCGTATTTTCGAAAGTACATGATAATTGATAATATTGTATATCTCGTTCGACGAGAGTATTGTACATTTTTAAAATTTTATTCGATCAAGTAATTTAGAGGCTTCTCTATCAGTATATCTCATAAACAGGCTACCACTTCTCATGTCAGATATAATATATGAACTCATATAGGTCAGCTGACCTTCTGCAGGACTCGCTGCAGTACATATAATATATTATTATATAGGTCCACCGCTCCCCGATTCATAAACATATACCTATATCACAGAACAATATATATAATGACCTAAATTAGGTATTATATATTTATATTTATATATAGGTCTCTGAAACCGATACGTTTTATATGAGATAATATTGTGTATTACTATTATTACCAGCTTCTCCGTTCTCCGATATATAGCATGCAGTTGTATACTCGTATAAGGTATACCTACCGTCAATCGACATACACGACAGCGAAATTTTAAACATCCTATACTCCTATCCTTATATTATGGGACAGTTCTGTATAATGTATTCCTTAAAAAACAACTATAGAAGACGCCGACGATACATATCACATTAAATAGTTGTGGGCTGTGCCTAGCTGTATATATATATATAATAGGTAGGTACTACGTAACGCTTTAGACGTTCTCGAATGTTTAACAACTATGTATTGGATTCCGAAATAAAATACCAATCGCTGTCTCATGAGAACTTGGTTACTATAATTTATAGTTCAACAATATTGCTGTGTGATAAAACATACATCAGAGAATGTATTGAGAATAAAATATTTATTATATCCGGCAACGTTTATATGTGACTTAGTTAAAATATTGACAATTTTTCCGTACATAATTTTCATAGATTATGTGTGTTCGGAAAGTATATTGTAGTAATAATATATAGGTTTTATAATATATTGCATATATTACTGGCGTGACGAAGGACTACATTTGAAGTACGTGCCTCAGTTTGAGGGGTGGTGGGTGTCCTCAAAGATCATTTGATGTGTTAAAAAAAGCATTATTTAAATTAATAAAAATATTTTGTCTTAAAAAAATTATTTAATGTTTTTTGTGATGGGTGGAGTGGGTGGCGGGTCTGACAATATAACTGTACCTCATAACTTAAGGAAGTTCGCCACGCCACTGTTACATATAATTTTATGYATTATATCTGTGTAGAACGAGGGCCGAAAGGTTAAAAATATAGTTACGAATTTACGATACAATTAATGAATAAACATTGCGTTTAATGACGCGTGCCTATATATTATTGTTATACATTTATTCATACATACTTTAAATGTATAAACGTATGTACCACCTACGTCCTACACTTTTACCGACGATCATTATAATTTATAAATACAATTAATTATTTATATATATATATATGTTTATATAGTGTACAGTTTACTCTGCAATATTAGCCGTTAATAAGTATACACCGGGGTGGCACGTTAACTCGTTACGAATTTACAACATTATAACACTTTAACATTAATGTATTTTATTTAAATAGAAAATCTGATATTATATATAAACTAACGATAACATTCTATTTTTMTTTTGACATATAAATATATTATGCACGTCGTGTTCTCTAAAAGCTGCAATTGCGGCTTGCAAGAGATAATTAATGGTTTTTGTTTGCACTTAATACCTACTGTTTTTTCTTCACGTACGAAAATATATCGAGTGCACATATAATATGACATAATACATAGTACTTATATAGTACATACATTACATGAATATGAACTACGAACCGAACGTACACAGGCATTATAATAGCTGTTTCAATACCTAATATYGTTAAACCATGAATATTATAATGTGTAGTTTATCGAATAAACAGTTGTTTTAGTTATCTTGAATAATACATAGGTATCATTAGTAAAAGCAATTGCGGAGCTGATAAACGAATATGAATGATTTTAATGAGTATTTACAAAATAAGTAATAATTTTTATTTGTTTTTTTTTTTCAGTTTGTCGGAGAATACTTAACAGATGAAACAATAAATTAACCACACAGTTTGGTGTCCGAAACGCGCGTATAGTATTACTCCATATTAGTGTATTACCATTTACGTACCTAAATAATATATACCTACATTGTATCTAATATAAGTGTTGTAGCAATAGTCATTATGAAGAGAAAATCCAATTTAAATATTTCGTTTGGAATTTTTGTCGAGATTATAATAATATTATGTGCCTACCAACATCTATTATTTTTTTTTCACTGTAAAATTGAAAATCGTGTAAATATTTATCTTTTGTACGGGGATCAAACACGTGAAGCATATTATAATAATAAATGTAATAACAATATTACACATATTATAATGGAAATGTACTGCAGTGCGGAATTCTGGACTGGAATATTATTAGGTAAACGAGTGAGCATGTGTGAGAATGACGAGTGTGTGTATATATATATAGTCCGAACAGTATACGCCGCGATGGAAATCCGCGAAAGGATGCATCAGATTGTTATTATATTATTATTATATTTATAAAGGGTAATATACGTGATGACAAACGGCGGGGAGGCGCGTATACATAAATAAGCTATATACATGTATTATATATTGATGTCCATTCACAACGCTATTATTAGGTATATGTATATGTGTCGGTATATTATGTATAAAATGATGGCATTGTGTATTTGTGTACGCGAGGTAGGCAGTCAGACTGCAGGTAGGTATGAGATAGGTAGGTAGTTACCTATATCGTCGTTATAATAACGTACACGGCGGCCGGCGAATAATAATACCTACATATAGGTATAATATATATAAATAAAAATACGCATTTACAGGACACCGCAATGTTATATATTATGTATATATATTCATGTTATATATATGAACGAGTATTATATATATATATGTATATATAGTGTAAGCATATGTATGTATCGTACGTGCTGTAATAGTGCATACGTTATTATTATTACGCGCGTATATATATATATAAGTTATATACCTACTACCAGCCATCATATAGGTACCAGCGCGCGCG